CCTCCTAGGCTGTTGGTGATTCCTCTGCTGCCAAGTTCAGTATGAAGAGACACCAGCCTCGGGGAAGTAGACTCAGCAAACTGTAGATTCTATGAATTCCAGAGAAAACCTCAAAGGATTGGAACATTTTCTAGATGGGACAGAAGAATGGGGTTGTCAGACTTATGGATGAGCAAAGCTACCATCTCTAACAATCAGGACTAAATCCTTACCCTTTGCTGGCAAAGGCGTTCCTGCCTCTCTTAGGGGTAAAAAAAAACTGTACAGGCTACTCTGTTACTATCTTGGAACTGTTTTGGTTTCTCATGCCTTACAAAAGTTTTCTCAGAGCCTTTCTACACTGTTCCCCTTACCTAACCTTCCATAAGGCTTCCCCACGCCCGGCCCCCATTAGTTTACTTAGAGGGCTACATCTCCTGAATTTTCTCTTCCCCCTAACCACTGGCATTGCTGGAAGAGGTCTAGCCCTAAGGAAGGTGAGGAAAGGGAATAGGAGGTGCAAAGTGCTCAGGGATAATGAAAATCCTAGGGTCTTGTTAACTGCAAGTTGCCTGGGCAGGCAGGCCCACAATGCTGCATTCTGACAAGCTCCCAAGTGTACTCACGCTGCTGGGCCAGAGCAAGCTCCTGTGATGGTCTGAATGAGAACGGCCCCATAGACCCAAGCATCCATGACTGGTCTGAAGTTGGTGGGGACTGTTTAGGTTGGATTAGGAGGTCTATCACTAGGCCATTTCCAGTTAGCTCTTTTTTCTCTGTCGTATACTTGTAGATGAGATGTAAGCACTGAGGGTGCATCGGTGCCATGTCTGCCTGCTGCCATGTCCCCAGCTATGATGGTCATGGACTCCAACCCTCTGAAACTAAGCAAGCCTCCAGCAAACTTTTCTCTAAGTGTCATAGCTTCTAAGGAGCAAGGAGCAAGAGTAACTCAGAGGGGAAGAGAGGGAAAGGACAACCTTCAGGAGAGGTCACATGCACTGCTGTTGCACACACCATCTACGACTTTTCTGCAAGGTCCTGTCTTATGCCTTTAAGAACACAAAGGCCCACCACACACGAGCAAAGGCTTACTTCACACACTCCTGCACCTTCCATCTAGGAAAGCAGCCCTGCCTCTGGAGCAGCTCTGTCATGGAATGGGTTCCTCAGAAGGGAAGGATGGCAGATGAGCTCTCTGGCATCCTTGGCCTTACTCCAGGCCCTGTCCCCTTAACGGAGTGACCTTCACTTTTCCTGGCAGCAGCTTTATTTATGGAATGCAGATGCAAAACTATACTTCACTGAACTCTGCCAATTTCTCCCTCAGGAAATTCACTCCACTTTATAAAGCAAGTAAAGCTCAAGGTGATTTGTCCAACACCTCATGGCTAGGAGTGCCCTTCCCTCCCGTGCACTAAACCATAAACCACACACCTATGGGACAAGAAGCCTCAAGATAAGATTAAGAGAGGTTAAAAAGCTAAAAAGCAATGATTGGCAGGTGATACTTCAAAGGCCAGAAGTCACACAAGGGTGTCCTAGTAACAGCTTCCTTTGTTGTACTCCAAGATGCTCTTCTGAGCGAGGTGGTCAGTGTAGACTCTGGCTCCAGGCAGAGGCTGATTCATCAGATAGTACCAACTGCTCAGTGGTAGCTGGCCCGCATGGCACAGGGCGGAGGACCACACCGGGAAGTCTGAATTCAGCAGAGCCAGCTCACTCATCCACTCTGCAGAGGAAAACTAATGCCTACATCTCAGCTCTTTGTTTGACAAATAGTTGGAAGGAAATCTGAAGTCTGGGTAAAGAAATAACCAAGTCGCGGGGACTACAGTGAACTGGGAAACCCTGTTTGGTTAAAATTACCTATACAAGCTGCTCCAACAGCTCGCTCACCAATCTCCTTTTTAAAAGAAGTCAAGCAATGTTATATAACTCTTTTTAAACAAAACACAAGCCAACAAGTGACCACGAGTTTGTAACCTCCATTGCTCAGTAAGCGGTCATCCCACCTTTTTCGGTGTACCTCCAGGAACGGAAGCGGTCAACTCGTGTCTGATACACTGCCATATGTGGCACTTTCCCTACAACGGCAATGAATGGGTCCCATGCAGAACACCAGAAGTCACTGAGGTAGTGTCGGCTTTGGATTTCTGGGGAAGTGTAATAGCTGTCACTATTACGTGTGCCAACAGACTAAGACAGCAGCCTGCTTTTAGGCAAATATTCATTTGATAAATGGCTTTGGTCTCTACTGCTCCTGCTGTCCTCATTCCTTTACTTGTTCAATCCCCAAAAGCATTGATTTAAGTTTGGGAATTTTTTCCTACATAGGACTTTGCCAAGATTAAAATCATACAGAATTCATACCTGGCGGTGGTGGCGCACACCTTTAGTCCCAGCACTCGGGATGCAGAGGCAGCCTGATCTACAAGAGTTAGATCCAGGACAGCCAGCCTCCAAAGCCACAGAGAAACCCTGTCTTGAAAAACCAAGAAAAAAAATCATACAGAATTCACGAGAGTATTACTATGCATAAGGTCTCAGCAAGCAGCTTAAGAAATGTTTACGAGGGGCTGGAGAGATGACTCAGTGGATAAGAGCATGTAGTACTCTTCCAGAAGACCTGAATTTGGCTCCTATATTAGTAGCTTAATAGCCTGTACTTTAGCTCCAGGGAATCTAGCCTCTGTGAGCACCCATATACATGTGCCATGTACTCACACATATGCCTAAATTTTTAAAAAATCTTTTAAAAAAGGTTACCATTATTATGAAGACTTTGATCTTTTTCTTCGAGATAGCCTTGGGTGTCCTGAACTTGCTCTGTAGACCAGGCTGGCCTCAAACTCACAGAGATCTACCTGCCTCTGCCTCCCGAGTGCTGGGACTAAAGGTGTGCACTACCACATGGCTAGACTGTTTCTATAATATACCAAAAATACAATTATAGTCAATGCATGGAAATCTGATTTTGGCTTAATAAGAGGTAGTTGTGTATCTCTTATTAATGAGGCCACCAAGATGAGGTTACTGGTGTGATTAGTGTCATTCCTTGTGGGACATTAGAGGGGGATTCTAGCTTCAAGCAGAAGTCTTAGGATGCTCTGATTACGTCCCTCTACATGATAGAAGAGCGGTCTATGACATAGTAAGAGAAGGCTGATGTAGAGTGCTAGCCACAATGAGGCCTCCAGATCGGGCATTGGGGGAACATGTGTATGGCTTCCTTGATACATAAAGCTATGTGTAATAAAGAAAAAAATCACAGAACCATACAACTGGGCCTGTTTTTGGTTTGTTTTCTTTTCAGGATATCACCACATAACCCTGGATGTACTAGAACTCACTATGCAGACCAGCTTGACTTTGAACTCAAGAGATCCATGTGCATCTACCTCCAGAGTACTGGGATTAAAGGTGTGTGCCACACCACCATGCCCACCAGGGGCATGTGTTTCTTTGCTCAGAACTGTTTGGAAAGTAACACAAGGAATTTATGCGGGCAACACGGAAACAGATCCGAACAGATGTTACCCTGGCATTCTATGCCCTTCTATCATTTCTTCTTCTTTGTAGCATCACCCCTATAAATACCAGCAAGTTCTTTGGTTTGGCTGAACAATCTAGCCTCAGCTTTTTAAGCAGTGCCCAACAGGAATCTTTAAACTGATGCCGCTTCACACTGTACCAGCAAGGCTCGAGAGGGAGAGGTGTTCGCCACCTCTAATTCTCCCCTCTAATTCTGAGATACAGCCAAGCCTGGCAGCTGCGGGGGTCACTGTCTTACTTCCTAAGTTGTTTCCTTCTATGTGTGTAACTTCACTGGAGAGCTCCCTAGCCCCATGGTTCTAAAGCTACTATCTAAATACCAACTCCCACATTTTTACCTCCAGACAGGACCCAATCCAATTTCCAGACATGCAGCACTGCAACTGTTTTCCCTTTCCATGGCTCTCCTTGGGTGCTGAGTAGACATCTAGTTTTAACACATCCAAAAGTTATCTTTGCCCCAAACTCCCCTATTCACAGCTTTCTAAACATCAGCTGAAAACATATCCAGATTTCTAGTTGCCCAAGTCCATAACCTCAGGGAAAAAAAACTGACTGGAAAGCACAGTCTAACTCATAAGGCTAGTTACCAAAAAACAAACAAAACAAAAAAACAAAAACCCAAAACCAAAACACCATAATCTTGATGCTGGGATTAAAAGTATCAAATCATTAGAATGCTTTTCTAAAACATGCCTAAAATTAATCATTTTAAGTCTAGAGTTTGAATTATGACAAACTGAATTATGCAAACTCAAAACCAGATTTGACCTAATACATTTGCAGGGATCTTGGCCAAGTCTTGTAATCTTTAGCAGAATGATGTCATAGTACCAGGTGCCAGCAGTAGGGTTATAAACTTTAAGTACACTTATCTACAGTTTTACTAAGAAACAGCCAAAGTCTAAAGATGATTCAAACATCCTCTTAATCTACGAAGGCAGGCTCACCTGAGTTTTGTGGTGGGTATCCTAAGGAGAAACAAGAGGAACTGTTTTGCTTCTGTTTTTTTATTTGAGCCAGGGTCTTACTTGGCAGCCCTGGTTGTCCTAACACTCCATATGAAGACCAGGCTGGCCTTGAACTCAGAGGTTCACCTGCCTCTGTTTCCCAAGCATTGGTATCAAGCATGTGACCCCATAGCCAATGAAGTTTACATTTTGAAAAACCTACTTTGTAATTTAAAATTGTAGGTTGAGGTCAGCTGGGGGTGGGGGTGTTAGTGGTGCATGCCTTTAATCACAGCACTCAGAAGGCAGAGGCAGGAGGATCACTGTGAGTTCGAGGCCAACCTGGTCTATAGAGCAAGTTACAAGACAGCCAAGGCTACACAGAGAATCCCTGTCTCCAAAAAAAAAAAAAAAAAAAAAAAAAAAAAAAATCTAGGTTGCTGTCAATTTTTTAAAAAAGTCTATTACAGATGGATCACAGATAGTTTTACCAGCATATGAAAGTAGAGGAGAGTATACGGGATTAGACAGATACTTTAATTTTACCAGAATGTGAAGATAGAGGAGAGTGTAAGGGATAAGATAGATATTTTAAAAAATAAATTACTTAGTAATAAGAAACTAGACATAATACATTTTTCATATGCTACAAAAACAAGCTGACGAGAAGGCAAAAGGAAGGCTCACCCCGAAAGAGGGTAACACTTTCCACTATAGAATAGCCTGCTTTCCCAGACAATTAGCCTCACAGTTAGTACATGATGCATACACATGTGGAAAAACTTGTCAAGCTTTGCCAGGGACAGCAGATGAAAACATAACATGTCCTAATTAGCTAATTAAAAGCATAAGCATTTTGGAAAAGGACTCATACAATCCGGCCATTGTTTTGGTAAACATCTGCAAATTGTAGATTTCCTCAGACTTAGCCATAGTTTCTGCTTGATGTCTTAAAGTAAGTGCACTGTGTCTCTTCTCAAGGCTGAGGTGACTGCTAGTCATCAAAGTCTGGAATGTCATCATAGGAGTAACCCCGGTAGCCTTTGGATGCATAGTAGGCGATGCGCAAATGGTAAAATCCTGGCAGGAACACCAAAATGCCAATGATGAGGACAGGAACGGCTCGGTCTGCCCCCTGGTGGCAGAAGAAAAACATTAATACCATATAAACTACACCTTTGTATCCCTTCTTTTTGAGCATAAATTGTCACCTCCTCTTTTTCCTGTGATGGGGATCATATTAAGACTTTGGCATGTCTACACAGTGAATTCTAGGACACCCAGAGCTGCATAGAGAAACTCTGCCTTAAAAAATAACAATAAAAATACCCCAAATATTGCTTAAAATATAGTGGCATGTAACAGTTCCCCAAAATGCATGTCCCACAATTTTATTTAACTATCATCTGAGCAACTGGATGCTTAATTTTTGCTTTTTATAATTATAAAACAACAGTAGGAACTGCATTTTTTTCTAGGGTATTTAAGAATGGACCTGCATTATGATCAGAATACCTGTTTGGTGTAACTTAAGACACAGAATACAAGCCGGGCGCTGGTGGCGCACGCCTTTAATCCCAGCACTCGGGAGGCAGAGGCAGGCGGATCTCTGTGAGTTCGAGGCCAGCCTGGTCTACAAAGCGAGTTCCAGGACAGCCTCCAAAGCCACAGAGAAACCCTGTCTCGAAAAACCCAAAAAAAAAAAAAAAAAAAAAAAAAAAAAAAGACACAGAATACATAAACATAATCCACAGGAAAGAACTACCAAGCACCACTTAGGCTTTGAATACTGAAACTCAACAGGACTCAGCACACCAACAGAGAAAGGAACCCAATTACAAGGTGCAGTGGCCACATACTTACACACGACTCACGACTTCTCCCCAGACACTGATCAGCATATCTACATGGATGTAAAAACTACAACGATGGCATTGTACATGTCTGGAAGCTGGAAGCCAGGCACAGTCACATTATTCTAACCTGTATCAGAAGTCATACCTGAAAGGTTCAGGCATTACACTGGCCTGCCCTGTAACCTGGCAGAATGCACTCAGGCACTCTGGCCAGCCCAGAGTTCCATGAGAACCAGTCTACACGCAGGTGCAAAGGACCCCTTTAAAGGATAGACCCCTGCCCACTTACTCTCGTCTTCTCTCTCTCATCATCTCTTCTCTCTTATCTTCCTCTCTCTCTCTGTCATGTCTGTCTCCCCCCTTTCGGTCTGGCTATAATAAACTATGATTAATATGCTCTCCATGGCTTCTGCTCTATGGCTCGTCCTGGTTCCTTAATTAACAACAATACTTGGTAAGCACCTACTTCCAGGCATGACGGAAACATGCTCAAGGGGAAAGCACCTAAACAAAACCCCGCCCTATCTTTTTAGTGGAATCTACTCAACTTCTGGCTCACAGGAGAAAGACCCAGGGCATATTCTCCCATGTCCATTAGCTTACCCCTTTGCTGATGTAGCCCGATAGCAGGAGAGAGCCTATGATTATGAGCAAGGTGCCAATCAAAAACAGCACGGTGGCAAGTGCAATGGCCTTATAAGGGATCTTAGGAGGGCTTTTCTTAAACTGGAAGAAGACAAAGAACATTATTAAAATACCAGCCCAATGACTTTAAAGCAGAGAGGGTGATTAAGAACCAAAGTGGACGTTTCAGGTGTCTTTAAGTACGTCTACCAGCCAGTGCAGCAAAGCTGGGACTCGAGGAGGCAAAGCTCCTGCTATTCCACAGACCCCTCGTTACAACCAAGGAAAGCCCTTTAAACTACTGTCTCCTAGTTGTTGGACATGCCTTTACAACACGCATGTGCACGGAAGGTCGTAGTGACCTGCAGTAATTTCAGAGTGAGCACCCTGCTATCTACGCAGAAGTGAAAAGGTGACTTCTGGAATTAAAGGTAACCTAGCATGCAGTCAGTCCAAAGTTTAAAAGCAGAACTTCAGTTTTTCTTTTCTTTGTAAAGATTGACTTTCTTTTTAATTATGTGTCTGTGTGGGGGTATGTGCATGTGAGTGCAGGTATGTGCATGTGAGTGCAGGTGTCTGTGTAAGCCAATGGAACTGCATCCTCCAAGAGCTGCAGTTACAGGCAGTGTAAGCTACCAGACAAGGCTGCTGGGAACCCAACTTGGGTTTTCTGCAAGAACAGTACTTTTAGGCTGGAGAGATGGCTCCAGGGTCAAAGCATTTGCCTTCTAGATGACCTGAGTTCAATTCCCGCACCCACATGGTGACTCAGTCTGTAACTTCCAGAGGATCTGACCCCCTCTTCTGGCCTCTTTGGATACTGTATATTCATAGTACACTTTCCAGGTTTGGTTCCTGTACTCACATGGTGGCTCATAACCATCTATAATTCCAATTCTAGAAGAATCAATGCCTGCTTTTGACCATCTTTGAACACCAGGCACATGCATGGTGCACATGAAAGCAAAACACTCATACATAAATATAAATACAAAATATTAAAAACACTAAAACAGTATATGCTCTTAAGTGTTGAGTCACCTCTCTGTCTAAATTTCAGCTTTCTTTTTTTTTTTTTTAAAGATTTATTTATTTATTATGAATACAACATCCTGCCTCCATGTCTGTCTGCAAGCCAGAAGAGGACACCAGATCTCATTACAGATGGCTATGAGCCACCATGTGGTTGCTGGGAATTGAACTCAGGGCCTCTGGAAGAGCAGTCAATGCTCTTAACCTCTGAGCCATCTCTCCAGCCCCAATTTCAGCTTTCTTAAAGTACTCCATTATGAGTTAATTCAGGTCAAGGTTAAGATTCAGGGACAGATTAAGGCTAAATACAGCACGAACACATGAAAATGTCACAATGAAACCTATTATTATATAAAATAAGATATGCTACTAAAAACATTTAAAAAATGTTTAGAGGCAAATCTTCTAAGGTTTGGCTCATTACTGAATCTGATGTTAAGTGTTTGGAAGCACTCCAAAGCTATTATTAACTCTTTTTCAAATAAGTTCAAAGAATAATAGACTTATTTAATTTAAAACAATGGGTTTCTGCTTGCAACTTGACCTCTGGCTCAAGCTCCACCTAGAATACTCTATCCTAAGGGAAAGGGGAAAAGGAGCTGTTACCCTACTGAAGGCAATGATCAGGTGAGGACACAAACTTGTTTACTTTCTGTTTGCCATAAAGAGCATTTGTAACTAACTGCATCTCCTGACATCAGGAAAGAAGATTATTTTCTGGATAAGCTAAATAAAATCTGTAGCTACATGGCTTTAGTACTTCAACTGACACTGGAAACAGATAATCCTGGAACTGTTTAAAATCACCTTGTCAAGATCCCTTCTCCAAGCTGGGGCTGAAAGGGTCTTGGAAATATGTTTGCTTTTTGCTGGTCCCAATAACAGATACACAGCTAAATGTTTTTCTATTTTTTTCAGTGTGTTACCTGAAGGTCAATGTAGCCATCGTCTGTGCTGGAAAGCCTTGAATATTTTACTTTACTACTGGGGATCCCAGTCGCCAGATTGGTACGAGATGGCATCATAACACGGTGACACAGCTAATCTGAAAGGGAAAGACTGTTACTGACCATAGGAATAATAGTACATTACAGGCAAAGACATCAGATACTGTGTACTAGAGTTCTAGTAAGAGCAACTTCACGACCTGATACTTCTTGGACACACGAAGCACACATCTTTTAAGTATCTGGCTTGTTTTCACTGAATGACACCAAAGGCATTTCACAAAGAATCACATCCAGTTTACTTTGCTACCAATGTTTCCTGCCTAATTTTTCCCAAGTCATGTGGAGATGAGTGAAGACTCAAATCCAAAGTTCACTTTTTTGTTGTTGTTGTTTTTTTGAGACAGGGTTTCTCTGTATTGTCTACTCTGTAGACCAGGCTGTCCTCGAACTCACAGAGATCCGCCTGCCTCTGACTCCCGAGTGCTGGGATTAAAGGCGTGTGCCACCAACGCTTCGCCAATGTTCACATTTTCAACCCTCCCTTACAGTAAGTACTGTCTGCCCCTTAACTTTTCTCAGGCACTTATTTTTAAGTAACTCCTTTTGCTTGCTATGAAATGAGAGATAAGGAATGGAATACATTCACATCAGTATTTTGTCTATTCTAAATGTGATATCACCCTAAGTGCAAGTGATGTGAAAAATCTTATCAACGTGGGTAACTTACTGGCTATCAATACCACACCAGAAACTTCAGAGCCACCTGCCTCTCTGCTCCCATCCCAAGCATCAAACAAGTGATTTTACTTTCCACATCATGTAGCTCCTGGAAAAATGGATTTGAAAGTCTGTTTTACTCAAACTATTCAAACCAGACAGCAGTAATAAAATCATAACTACTGTATTATTCGAGAGTAGGTAAGATTTAAAAACAATGACATTTAAATAAAAAAAAATAAAATTTGAGCTCAGTACTGCAGTAGGTGACTGTAGTATTGGCTACTTGGGAGGACAGGTGTGAGTATACAGAGGGGGGAGGAGCCAGTTTGGGCTGCATAGTAAGACCAGAGTTCTTCCCTACCACAACTGAAATTTTTTAGTTCTTTATAAAGTCATAAAATTATGTAAACAGATTTCTGGGGGGTTTTTTTGTTGTTTTTTTTTTGTTTTTGAGACAGGGTTTCTCTGTGTAACAACCCTGGCTGTTCTGGAACTAGCTCTGTAGACCAGGCTGGCCTCGAACTCACAGAGATCCATCTGCCTCTGCCTCCCGGGTGCTGGGATTAAAGGAGTGCCATCACCACTACCCAGCCGTAAACAGATTTTTATTGCAAAAGTATTTGAATTGTAAATGCAAAAGTCTATTTTTAAGAAGATAACTAAGTATTTCAATAACCAGGCCTTCACTGGTTTGGTATTTTGCACATCATCTCTATAATGGTATGTGGTATTTATTTATTCGATCTTGGTGAGGTGCCAGACACTGCTATTTACAGTCGACTTAAAGTAACTAGCATGCAAAATTGGTGCCAAATGCCTTTTTGTTCATTACATTCTAGTTCAGAAACCGAGTATTAAAAAGGAACAACGCAAATCCACTTGCGTTTCTAAAACTGTTGGATCAAGAAGTTGCATTAAGTACCAGGTTTTTGGTGTTACCATCCCATTATATGCTTAATCCCTCCAACCTGAAAAAGTTCAAGCTACCAATAAACAGGAGTTTTGAGGCAATAAACCACACCTGATTTGTATTACATGCCACAAAGTTAGGAGGTCGCATTAAAACAAAAATGTTGCAGAGTCTGAGCGAGAGGGGAAGACTTGCGCTTTTCTTAGCAAAGGATTCTAGTAGGCAGTCACCACGCCCTAAATGACAATTCTAAAAACCATCAGCCCAAGTTTCTATTATGCTTTTTACCGGTCCCACCGCAACCTCGGCCACCCCCCCTCCAGCCCCCAGCACCTGCGCGTGGCGCTGTGGGCAGCCTCCCGCCGACCTCCGCCGTCGCCACCCACGGGTCAGGACCCACGCGAACTTAGCACTAACAAAACTGGCTACGGGAAGCAGCCTCGGTGGCTGGGCGAGGCTCGCGGCTGGCTTCCGGGAGCGCGCTCCCAAACCCCGACCCGCAGAGGGTGTCCCGCTCTCCGTTAGGCGCGCGAGCACCGCTCGCCCAACAGCCAACGGCGGTCAGAGCGCCAGCCCACCGGAAGCGGTGTGCGAAGAGGCGCACCGGAAATGGCGCCATCAGGAAGCTACGTCGTCACACCAAGTAGCGTAAGGCTGGACAGTTTTTAGACAGTTCCCCCATGTATCCCTGGCTGTCCTGGACCAGGCTGGCCTCGAGTTCCGTGTTTCCCCTGCTTCTGCCTCCCGAGTCCTGGGAATACCTAGCGGGCCGCCAGTTTGGTCTGGTGTTGGTGACCTGGGCCTGCTACCTCCACATGGTGTGTAGAAACCTAAGAGTCCCTCCCATCGCGATCTAACCCAGGGCAAGGCTGTTAATGTGGTTCCAGCCCAGACCCATCATGGCCAAGTCGGTGCACAGCAGAGTCCCCAGATCCGGAGGGTGGGGCTTCCCCTGCCCTACCCAGCGCTATGCTGACACTGTTCTGTACCCACTAGAGTACTCTCAGCCCCAAATTCTTGTCCTTGTTTCCCTATCTGGCTATCAGACCCCACTCAGGTCCTACTGACCAGACACAATATGCTCAGTGGAACACTGACCAGTCTTCATAAAGCATGTTCATCACCCCAGAGTTCTACAAGCGAGGTGTATTTGTAATCAATTCCTTCCCTACCTGTTGACACAAAGCTTTGAATAGTAGTAGTTACTGGGTATGAGCTCTAACCAACCACTTCCTAGAACAACTGAAGCTGTTATCTTTTACAAACTGCTGAACACAAAATTCGATGGGAAAGCCTCCAAAGCCACAGAGAAACCCTGTCTCGAAAAACCAAACCCCCCCCCAAAAAGCGATGGAAAAACTAGCTTGGGAACTATGGAGACATCGTTGTATCTAAGAACCCTCCGAAGTGTGGCCACCCATAAACCCAGCCTGGAAGCAGACAAGACTTGCTCTATAGCTCTGGGTTTGAGCATCAGTAAGACAGAAACACACAAAATGGTTGCCTACATCAACCTAGATTTTCTTCACGCATGCCCACACACCTGGAAAATGCATGCACACAAAAAACGGAAAAGATGCAGGGTAGTGGTGGCACACACCTTTAATCCCAGCACTTGGGAGGCAGAGGCAGGTGGGTCCCTGTGAGGAGTTTGAGGCCAGCCTGGTCTACAGAGCAAGTTCCAGGACAGCCAGAGCTGTTACAAAGAAACCCTGTCTCAAATAATAAAAATACCTGACAGGGTGTGGTGTAGTTTGGACAAGCAATGTTTACTGAGTGAAGGTGCTTGTCTCCAAGCCTGAAGCACATTTAATCCCTGGAAGCCACATCGTGGTGGGTGTACCAATTCTTATAAATTGTCTCCACACTTAATCCCAGCACTCGGGAGGCAGAGGCAGGAGGATCTCTGTGAGTTCGAGACCAGCCGGGACTACCAAACGAGTTCCAGGACAGCCTCCAAAGCCACAGAGAAACCCTGTCTCGAAAAACCAAAAGTCTCCACACATGAAATAGTAAATATGACTTTTCTTCAAGCCCACAGGTTTTTTTTAACCCTTCTTGCTTGACTCAAGCATCTACAAAATTTAAATTAGGCCTTTATATATTTGAGGTCTAAGTAGTCCTGAGTAGCCTAGGAAGAGATCCACCTACTCCTTGGCCTCTGTGCTGGAATTAAAAGTATTTTAAAAGCTACATCCCATGCAAGACTACTCATACCAGAAAAAAATTTTTTCTATAACCTAATCACACAGTCTAAAGTGAGACATTAAAAAAAAATCTCCATGATGTATTAACTCCAGGCTGCTTTAAAATGGAAGAGAACAAAAACCCATTTACATTTCTTTGAGAGTTCAAGTAGTTGTGTTTTAAAGACACTGTTATTTGAGTTTTGGATTCAGTTAACTTTATTTAAATTGAAAAACTTCTTGAAACTGCACTTAGCATCAACATCCTTTATAAAAATCACCAGTATTTCTAAGGCAGAAATATTTATGTTAAAAGAACCAGTTTTTACTTTGGAGCTTATTCTTTAAACAAATCGTGGAGAATAGAGAGAAAAAAGTAGGTTATTTACAGAAGATATCTACATATGTACTCAGGTACAAATTCGGTGACAGAAAAGACTTCAAAACATGCTGGCATCTCAGAAGCAGTTCTCAAAGGCTTGGTTTTCTCAGATTCTAGCAATGCCTAAGATCCTTCTTCATCTTCAATCTTCGGAGCCAAATAATACTTTAAGTGTCCCATGTCAGAAATTTTATACTCTACAACTGAAAGACAGGAAAAGTTAATTACTGAGGAGTAATATAGTATTACTATACTACGGAACAATGTTAAAATTTAAGTTTAGGATCTTACCAAGGGGTACATCTGCAGACATACTGAGTGTTACTGTAGGAGACAGTGGAGTGGCTTTTGTGAAAAAATTCAGGTACCTCAGTGCAAAAGTTAGCTGAACTGGCTCATTCATCTCTATGGCTACCTAGAGGAGAAAACAGGCTCACTATAAACAAAGTCAAGAAACTCATATACATTAGTTCTTAACATACAGCACAAAACAAAAATCTTTAGCTATCACTTGAGAATTTTATGAAAAGTTAAGACTAAATAAAGAAATGAAACTTATTTAGCTTATCTCTCTTGTAGAACCATACCCCAAGCAACCAACACAAAGAAAGTGCTGTTCTTATCTAGACTACAAACACTAATCTCTTCCAAAGAATCTATACAGAGGAAAAAGAAATGGAATGCTAGCTAACTAGTTGAGTAAAGTCATGGGTTCAATGAAGAAAACTAAGTCCCACCCCCACAGTAACCAGGGCTGGAGAGCTGGCTCAGCAGTTAATACTCGATGCTCTTCCACAAGACCCAAGTTTGGTTTCCAGTACCCACATCCAGCAGCTTATAACCAACTCCAGTAACAAGAAGCAACAAGTGGAATGCAAGCTAAGGGAATTTTCATTTTATCAGCATCAATTTTTAACTCCAAACTAATGAAATAGTAAACATATGAATACTGAAAATTAATTTCCTTTGCTATGGTAATGCTTATACTTTAAACAAAATACTTATGAATTAAATGTCTTATGATCTGAAGATTACAGGGAAGTAGAAATTCAGCAGACAGATTAAGGTTAAGAACCAGTCCTATGGGTTGTGTATATAATCTGTTCTAATCCTTAGTTATACAAGTTGCAGACAAGAAAATAACATTACTTTTTGTGAAGCACTCTGAATCTTACCACATTTAGCCCTAAAAAAAAAAAAAAAAAAAAAAAATCAGGGCTGGAGAGATGGCTCAGAGGTTAAGAGCACTGACTGCTTTTCCAGAGGTCCTGAGTTCAATTCCCAGCAACCACATGGTGGCTCACAACCATCAGTAATGAGATCTGGTGCCCTCTCCTGGCTTGCAGGCATACATAGAGGCAGGATGTTGTATTCATAATAAATAAATAAAATCTTTAAAAAAAAAACATACTTAGTTCAGACTTCTGTCTGCAATTTAGAATCTGATGCTCAGGCTATCTGGCAAAACTTTTAAAAATTTAGTATAATTATTAAAAAAATTTGACTTCTGAAAGTCTTGACTCAGGGATTGAGGAATTAAAGACACCTAGTATCTTCTGCTGGAATGAGGGCTTTCCAGGCATTTTCCTTTGACTCCCGAATATCTTCCTCATTTTTGAGGACTTCAAACTTGTCACCACTCAACCTTGCTCAGAACGCTTCTGCACCATCACATGGGCTAGCACATGGAAGCCCAACAACACATACAGCTACTACAAGATCTACCCGATCCCAACAGACTCACAACCCCAACCATCTTCTTCTGTTCACTTGTTAATCCTCGTTTATGTGTCAGCCATTTCTAGGAAGCAAAAGCTGGGACACCTAGCTTTCTAATCCCACCTGTGAAAGCATGTGCAGACTGTGGATCTGAGTTCAGACAGTCTGGTCTACTCAGACTCCACCTCAAAAAAGCTAGGCAGACAACTTTTTTTTTTTTTTTGGTTTTTCGAGACAGGGTTTCTCTGTAGCTTTGGAGGCTGTCCTGGAACTCACTTTGTAGACCAGGCTGGCCTTGAACTCACAGAGATCCGCCTAGGCAGACAACTTTTACTTACAGCTTCCTCCTCTTTATCAACATTGCTTGTTTGTGACAACTTAATGTTTCCATTTCCAAGCTCTCCACTTGCAGAAAACTTCACCCCATCCTTTGCACAGGATATTACAACAGCATCTCCAATGTGGCTAAGGTCTCGGCATATGCGCGCAAATTCACCAGAAGGCATCTTTACTACACAGCTGTACTCTTGTTCCTGTAAATCCCAAAGTTAAAGGTCAGAAGTGTGAAGACTACTTCACTTTCTCTTGAGCATCTTAATGAGAACTCAGAAGGCAAGACTTCTGATTTCTTTAATACGCAATTAATTTCAAACTGTCATTGCTTGGTGAAATTGCCATTTATTCTAATTACCCACTTTGAAACATGCATCAGCTGGTATCACATCTTGGCAAAATTCACTAGCAAAAACAAGATATTCTCCCAGCACTGAGGAGGTGGAGCCAGAGGCAGGCAGATCTGTTGAGTCTACAGATTGAGTTCTAGGACCCAGGGCTATACAGTCAAAACAAGATACTCACAGGGATTCCCAGCTGCTCAACATCCAAGTCCATTAACTTCATTTCATAGTCTGAAACTTTCTCTTGATCTAACAAAAGGAAGCAAATGTTACTGAAGCACATGTTCATATGTATGGTGTAAAATTTTACAGCCACCACAATTCTGTTAATATTCTTAGCTTTGAGAATTAGAGCATCATACTTTGCTTTGTGTAACTGAGTTTTAGAGGTGTAACTTACTTGGTGCTTCAAATACAAGCGCTAAGGTATCAGCATTATCTTCAGCCCTTAGTGTAATGATGTCTTCATTGCCAGCACATTTTAGTATTTTGGACATGCTAGAAAACAAGACGCAGGGCTTATCAACACCATGTGTTCAACAGCTACATTTTTACACCCTCTCCGACAGGGGAACTCTTTATTAACCAGGGTAAGGGCACCCCAAGTCCCCTTAGG